AAACAAACAAACAAACAAACAAACAAAAACCCAACACAAACACAAAACAAAATATAAAAGCCAAATTTTTGGAAAATAAATCGCTAAAATTACTTTGCTCCTCCAGTAACTGTATGTTGGCACACCCTTCAAGTATTTAAAGCATCTAGGGAAGGCCTTTGTAAATAGTTAATTTATGCCCTGAGAAGAGAACCTTACATGTGGATAAGATTCTAAATAAGTCCAAGTGACAGGCAATAGGAGAAGACATTTTTCTCTGTTAAGCTGTTCTCGACAAGGGGCATCTAACTGGGCTAACCAAATGTGACTTCCATCATCAGAATTAGTAAGGCATAGAAAACCTTTACCAAATCTTCATTACATTGCCTGTTTGATAATCTGATCTCTTGTGCCTTTTAGGAGTAGATGCTAGGTGCTCTCTCTGCAAAGTCAAGGTTTTAGGTTTTCAGGACAATATTAAATAGACTGGCATTTGCTATTACCATGGAAGTCCTATAATGTTCATTATTTTTTTCTGAAAAGGTTTTTGCTATAGGGCGTGTGAGCTCATCGGAAAGACAGAGAGAGAGAGAGAGACAGAGACAGAGAGACAGAAAGCAAGAAATCACCTCCCAGGGGGCATGGCCACACTGCAATCTCCTCTCCTTCATTTTCTTTTTGAGATCTTGGGCACGCATGCACACATGACTGGCGTGAGTTTAAGTCACTGGGTCCAGGACTTGAACTGTGATAGACTACATGAGAGTCCAGCGATGTAACCATTACGCTGTCTGCTGGTCCCGTGTTCATGTTTTCAAAGAAGTTATCAGCTTCTTCTTATAGATAGTCCCATAATAAGAATTCTCTTCCATTCCTTTTTTTTTTTTTGAGAGGTTTTTGCTATAGGGCCCGTGCACTTGCCAGACAGACAAGAGACAGAGAGATAGAAAGCAAGAAATCACCCCCCCCAGGGGGGATGGCCACGCCGCAATCTCTTCTCCTCCATTCTCCTCTCGGGATCTTGGGCACGCACGCACACACGCCCGGCGTGAGTTTAAGCCATCGGGTCTGGGACTTGAACTGTGGTCAACTACCTGGGAGTCCAGCGACATAACCATTACACTAACTGCTGGTCCCTCTCTTCCATTCTTTTTTTTTTTTTTTTTTTGCAGGTCACAAGACTTTATTAAGATGGAATCATTGCTAATTACATAGAAATCACTTGCCTAAGCCAAAATCCATGAGGTTTATATGAACTTACAGTTTACAAATTAAATAAAAATGGCATGTTCAAAACCATTAGGAAATATCCTGAAGCCCAGAGGATGAAGGCTGGGTGACTGAGTCTGCACGTTTATTTCAAGCTGCTGAAGAGTTTGTGGGCCACGCAGTGGTCCCTTGCATGTAAGAAATCAAAGAGCTCCTCTGTGCAATCCTCTTCTGTGTGTGACCGGGAGGACACACGCTCATCGCAGAGCTCTAGCCGCTCCCGGGCCTTTACACACTTCTCCAGTTGTTCGCATTGCTCTCTCACTGTTGTTAGGGGATCCACTAATTCTTCTTCTTCCTCTTCTTCCTCCTTAGGATCTCCAGACCCGGTCAGCATCTTTCGCTCGTCCTCCAGTCCCATGTCCTGCTACGGTTCTGGATCCAACACGAGCAGCAACAGCGGCACCTGCTCCACTGCAGAACCAAGAAGGACTCGTAAGGGTCACTGGGCGGATCTCTTCCATTCTTTTTAAAACTAATTTTTATTTAATTGTTAATTATTATTATTTTTTAAAATTTGCTATAGGGCACATATGCTCACCAGAGAGAGAGAGAGAGAGAGAGAAGTAGTAAGAAAGTAAGCTTAAAGATCCAGGACTTGAACCATAGTTAGCCATGTGGGAATCCAGTGCCTTAATCACCATGCCACCTGCTGGTCCCTCCACTCTTTTTCATGTGGGCAATTTGTAAGTAATGTTAGTGCTTCTTTCACCAAAGGTTCTATTCTTTCCCAAGTTTATCTTCTTAGCTTTGTATAATCTTTATCTAGAAGAAAAGAATCTCCATTAAGCACAGTAAGGATGAATTAAGCAAAGCCAAGAAGGTACACAAGTATTTCTAACTTTACTTATAATCAAATCCTCTTTTCCTTTGTGTTCACCCCATACAGCTGTCAAGTCCTAGATGGTATAGTGCACCTAGGGGCATATATACAAGCTGATGTACTACATTCCTTTCATTTCAAAGCTTTTTTTCTCCCGAGTAATAGTGAGTCTTTAAATCAGCCTCTAATTTGGTCAAAGAATAATTCATTTTTGTAATTAGTCATCATGCAATGGTGTTTGCCCTGTTTATGTCTCATTTTTTATAATTTAACAAGAAATTTCTGATAAATAAACCTCAGTCAGCTTGTTTTTGATTTAGGAAAATGCAGATTTTATATAATTGGTGAGTCAATCTCTGTCTATTAGATAGCCTAATGAAGTGCAGAGTCTAGGGAATAATTTTATACCAGAGAGCTGCCAGTTGAGATAAAAATGTTTCTATGGGCCTTCAAAAATAAAATGCATATTTGGCTGACTAATTGTGGCTTGCAAGACAGATGAGGAACTTAAGTTCAGCAAACAGCCAGTTCTAAAGGGGGAGAGAGAGAGAGAGAGATTTCTCTTCTATATAAAATTCTGACTACTTTTGTGTTGCAATGCAGCGTAGGACAGACCAGAGCTGTGAAATAGAATGCATTATGATGATGGAAATGCTATCTGCAGTGTGCAATAAATTCAGTAGTAGCCACTGAACTCATGTGATTACTGAGCACTTAAAATGTGACTCATGCGGGACCAGCAGTTGGCGTAATGGTTATGTCACCGGACTCCCACATAGTTGACTACAGTTCGAATACTAGACCCAGTAACTTAAACTCATGCCAGGTGCATGTGCATGACTACCTGGGGGGGGGGGGTTGCCTTCTCACTTCTGTCTCTCTAGTGAGCACATGCACCCTATAGCAAAAATCTTTTTCTCTTAAAATAAAAGTGACCATTGCAAGTAAGTTAAATAATTTTTTATTTAATATTTTCTTTTTCTTGTTTTAATTGCCAGAGGGCATGTGTGCTCACCAGAGAGAGAGAGAGAGAGAGAGAGAGAGAGAGAGAGAGATGTGAAAGACCCCACCCCCGACACACACACACACACACACACTGGGATGTGGTTAGGCTGCAATACCTTCTCCTCCATTTCTCTATTCTGTTGGGGTTTGGGGCATGCATGCACATGCATCCTGTGTGTTTTTCAAGCCATCGGGACTGGGATTTGAACCACATTTGGCCATGGGGAATCTGGTTTCTTAATCACAAGGTTGCAAGGCCATGGCTTAATTCAATTTTAATTCATTTTAATTTAAATAGACATATGTGGCAAGTGGCTACTATATTGGACAGTGCAGGTCTAGTCATTGCCCTACAACCATAGTCACAATCTAGACACAAGTGAGGACAAATGCTAGTTTCACGTGCATGTGGAGGAGTGGCTGGTATTTCAGGTGTTGAAGCAATGGAATTCCCAGGGGCCACAGATGGAGTAGTGGTTACATTGCCAGACTGCCACACGACCAACCACAGTTCAAGTCCAGGACCTGGTGGCTTCAAACTCACACTGTGTGTGTGTTTGTCCAAGATTTTGGGAGGAGAAGGGATTGCAGTGAGGCCATCCCTTCGGGGGGTGATTTCTCACTTTCCCTCTCACTGTCTCTGTCTCTCTGGCAAGAGCATTCACCCTAAAGCAAAAATCTCTCTCTCTCTCTCCCTCCCTCTCTCTCTCTTTTACGAAAGAAACAACAGAATTCCTTCTTCTCTTACAGCAAAGTAAATGATGTCATTAATCCATCACTGCTTAGATTAGTATCATGTATTTCATCAACTCATTCTTCCTCTACATCTTTCCTTCACAATAAGAACAGATATCCCTTGGCTTCTGCATTTCTCCATTAAACACATGCTTATGGAGCCTCGGCTGCCTGTCGGGCAATGTCTAGGTGCTGAGTATGCAGCAGTGAGTGAGATCAATCAGGTCTCTGCTCCCACTGAGGATCCATGAACACACAGTCACAAAAATTATTTGAATGTAATTGTGATAAGGTTTTAGTGTATTTCCCTAGGAAGAACTAACAAAACAAAAAAGATTTAGGACTGTTCACAAATTTCACTGACTACTTCAGTCAGGCCCTCCTCAGTTTAAATAAAGTGGGTAGGACCAGGGTAAAGAAAATAAGAATGAGGGAACCAGCAGTTAGCATAATGGCTATGTTGCTGGACTCCCACGTAGTCAACCACGGTTTGCATCCCGGACCCGGTGGCTTAGAACTCATGCCGGGCACGTATGCAAGCATGCCCAAGATCCCAAGAGGAGAATGGAGGAGAAGGGATTGCAGCGTGACCATCCTCCCTGGGGGTTGATTTCTCGCTTTCTGTCTCTACGTCTTTCTCTGTCTGTCTGGTGAGCGCATGCGCCCTATAGCGAAAACCTCTCCAAAAAAAAAAAAAAAAAAGAATGACATTACTATCATTTAGTTGTTTATAATTTCACTTGTAGGCTCCTTAAGGGAAAGGATTATCCATTCCTTCCCTTCCACAGTGCTTGAACTAGCTAGCGTCAATGGCCATTACTAAAATAAAACGAAAACCTTTCTAGGTTTTTCCTTTCAGATTGCTTCTAGATTATATGAGAAACTCATTGCCCATTAATTCTCTTTGAAAATTTACTTAGTTCACTTTTTTCCTTAGATCAATTAAGTGCTTCAATCATCCAGAACGGAGTAGCTGAAAACCATGCTAGTTACCCTTTCATCATCCCATTTTCTTCTTCTTTTGCCTTTTGGGTTTTCTTGTGATCTGCGTGTTGATGTTCTCCTGAAATTTCCTATGTTGGAACTGCATATTCCATGTGATAATAATAAAAAGTGAGGCCTTTTGGAAAAGGATTAAGACATGAGGGCTCTCCCTTACTAGTGGGGTTAGTGCCCTTCTAAAGCAGGCTGAAGGCGGTGTCTGGCTCCTTTCATGTGAGTGGATAGAGAGGCCCTATCCCTGAGAAAGACCTCAGTGGTGTCACATCCATGCCTTTATCTTGGCTTTTCCTGCCTTCAGAACTGAAAAAAGATGTTTATTATTTATAAACTCTCCAGTGTAGGGTATTTTGTTGTGATAGCCTGAATGGACAGAGGTAGTTTTTTTTATTGATGTACTTTTTCATTCTTATTTTGCGTATTAAGTGTGAGATAAAAGAAGAAGGGACAGATGGTCAAATAGAGGACTCACGGCCAGGGTTGGGAGGTCTAAAATTCCAGTCTTTTTCTCTTTTCTTCTTTCTTTCCTTCAGGTTAGAAATGAATAGCTGGCTTTGCCTTTTGTTTTCATTTCTTACATTTTAAAAACTCCCAGTACCTGCTTTCTTCTATTCTAATATTTTTGGCTCACTTTTTGTACATTTTATTTGAAGGCAGCTCAACATAAAACTAAAAGCCAACCTTGATGTCATTAATCGTAAAGTACACACCTCATTTGATTCACATCATATGCTTATAACATTTTTTCAAGTCAACCTAACGTTTTGAGAAATGCTCCTATAGAATTTTTTTATTTTCCTGTACTTTTGGACTCTGGCAATTTTCAAAATAGACATTAAATAAGATCTGCTGAAAATCCATATTTTTGGATTAGAAATACCTTTATATATATTTTTTTGAATGAACAATTGTTCTGTGGTGGTCAGATATAGTTAAAATAATTGTACTATTCAAAGTTAATATTGGTTCCGTTTTAAAATCAAATCTGAAACTGGATTAATGTGTTTAATAACTTCAGTCTGTAAGCCATGCATTTGTCAGTAAGCATGAGGCTCCATCTGAGGGGTTGAGATCCCTGCTGCAGACCTGGGTCTGTACTCTCTAATGTGAACAAGGATCAGCTCTAAGCATCAAAATACCAGCGGCTTCCTTTCTTACTGCCACAAAACATCACAGTTTAGTATCTTAAAATAACACAGGTTTATTCTTTTACAATTCTGGGAAGTATAAATTCAAGGCATCAACCGGCTGGGGGAGGGGGGAATTACTCTCCTTGTCTTTTTCCTGCTTTACTAGTTGTTTGCATTCCCCAACTCACGTGCCTTCTTCCTCACACACTGGGCTCTTCTTCCCTTGCCACATCTCATCTCTGGCTCTGACTCTGACCCTCATCTCTGACTCTGACACTCTTGCCTTCTAAAAGAATCCATTGGACCACCCAGATAATCTAGGATAATCTCCTCCTGTCTAGATGCTTAATTTAATCACATTCATGAAATCCTTTTTATCATGTAAAGTAACAAATTCACAGGTTCTGGGGATGAAGATGTGGGCATCTTTTTATTTTTTATTTTTTTTCCCCTCAAGAATAAAAGGATAGTTTGTTGAGAGAAAGAGTGCCCTGCCCTGGGGGTCTGAAGTGGAGGTGCTTCAGCCCACCTCATTGAGAAGTGATTTAATTATCATGGGAGGGGGTAGGGTCAGGAAAATGGCGGGTACTCTGATTAGTTTAGTTTCCCTGCCATTGTGACCTATGGATGTTGGCTGCCAGTAAGGTAGAGCTCTGACCAGAGGATTCTGGCCAAAGGCTGCTGCGACCATCTCCTCATTTTAAAATTTTATTTATTTGTTTTTGTATAGACCATAGATTAGTTTATTTTTAACACC